TGACGATGTTTTACAATCGGACTTTTTAAAACAGACAATATATACTTTCTTATGGTCACCTGCCTTAGAGTCTACCATATGCTTTTTTCGAAGACATCAAATCAAGAAGACTGGCAACTCTGCCAGAATCGAAGCGACATATACAGTAGCGCTGCGCTCGAGAGAAAATGCAGGGAAGAGAAAAATATATTAGTGGACCCCATGGAATCAGCACTACCTACTTTCAAAATCCACTCAATGTATGATGTAATCCGTTTGGGCTTCAATCAAACCATAATAAAAATAGTTTATAGTACTTCAAAAGGTTCGGAAAAGTTGCAGAGAAATTTATAAATAAGATTGATCCATAGCATTCAAAATCATTGCATAGTTCGAACGGAAATAGCACATAAGTGTACTGCGTTTGTGTATTTATCTGTTTGACTCTTCGAGCACAAATCTTAAAATAAACTCGACACTTTTTCATACAGTGTAATCCGGTTTCTAATGTTTTTGAACCATTGACAAAGTTAAAATGTTAGTCATGCTGTCTGTTTTTTTTTCATCGCGTCGTAAAATCAAAATAAAAAAAATCCTGAAACCAAAAATCTTTTAGTAAAGCAGCTACAATTTTGACTAAAGGGTGAAACGATCAAAAATTGGTTAATCATGATTAAGTGCACACTGATTTTGTTATTGTACACATGATCAAACCTTATTTCTTTTTGGAGTTCAATGACTACAAAATACAGGAAAATTATTTGATTTGGCTTCCGATTTTCCAAATGCGAACTGTCCGGCTTTACGTTTCACACCTTCCATCATATTTTGTACCGCTGTTGTATCAACCTTATTTGACGCTGAATGTCAATTTGCTTTGAACTGTTTCTCATTTCCAACTGTTTTCTGAGTTTTCTTGAGGTTCCGCTTAACGATTGCTCAATATTTTTCAATTGGGTGCAGCTCCAACGAGTTTGGAGGGTTTTTGTCTTTAGGTACGACTTGCACGTTGTTGGTGGCATACCGTTCCTAAGCCATTTTCCTGTAGTGACAGGAAGTGAGGTCTGACCAAAACAGCACGAAACAACTGTGTTTCTTCAAAAAAGGCAACAGGCGTTTTTACAAATATTTCTTTTCATAAATATCTTGGTAGACAATGCCAGTTGTCACGAAAACTTCGCTGTTCAGCACACAGGTTCAAATCGCCTGCCAAACAAAGTATTATTTTTTTCGGGAACTCTGACAACTTTTTCTGCTTAAACTTATCTTGAACCTTTCCTTTTCCGGTAGTCGTGTAAACTCTTGACCTGGGAGCTGCTTGAAATCTGACTTGATGTATTAAATATACATGGGAATAATTTTGATACGCTGTTGCTCTTGCATCGACGCCATTTTAACAACTGAATGGAAAATGGCAAAAATTAAAAAGAGGATTCCATACACATAGACCTACAAAATGAGGGGTGTTCAATTTTTTTATATGCACGATTTAAAAAAATGCCAAATTTGAGTCGAGCAATTTTTGACTGGTCCATTATGTAGTATTCAACTAGAAATTTTCATTTAACTTAGGTAAAAATATGCAGAAAGCAATTAATTAGTTTTAATTTGCTATTCGGAAATAAAAGAAAATTTCAATATAAAATATGGCATGACCAATTAAACCATTAAGAAGGGAAATAATATCCTTTCCAACAAAGTAAAAAAAAACTACAAATCCGTTGAAAATAACCGAAGATGTAACAGTAATAGTGAAAAGTGTGATTCTGGTTTGGTGCTCGAAGAGTTAATATAGAATATCTAGATGTAGCATCAACAAAATCTGAAAATCTCTTTCTTTTTTCTTCACTTTCCCTAGCAGCACACTTGTCACTTAATAGTAGTTGTTACTTGTATGCACCTGCACCTATTTTGATGGACGTGTGTTGCTTGGTTTATTTTCCAAAATGATATCTCACATGTACGATGATTTGAATTTTGTAAGAAAAAGATGTTAGCACCATAAAACGAATATTTGATTGCATCTACAAAAAAAAATCACGTTAAAAGAGTTCAGTCGCTATATAAAATAACAAGTAGACAACACTGCAATAAGCATTTCTCTTAGTATTATATTTCCTATGTTTTTCTTCGAAGCATATTTCAACAAATGAGTCAAGACCATTAATCCACGCATTAGTAAAAGAAACAAAGGTTAAAATTAACAAAAGCTTTTTTTTTAAATAATTTTACTTTCGAGGATTTCAAACACAGTATCTCAGAAGCTGCACCAATTACTTTTATACCCCGGACAGACTATGGCTTATATCATGTAATATAGGCTGGCTTGCAATGAGCACTCATACATCTAGTTTTCACTTGATGGTGACATAAAAATATAAATTAAAATATTGAAAATTTTGTTTGAAGTTTTAAAATTTGAATTAAAAATATTTGGCAACACTGTATAGAAATAATAGTTGCACATTAAGGTATCTTCACCAACTCTCTCTTATGAAAACAGTACCTAGTGCTATCTATGGCTTTATTCATTCAGGAGATATTAACAAAAGAATTTAGTGCTTTCTTGAGAATCTTGAAAAATAGATAATGCTCACCTTGACCGAGGGGTGCTCTAAGCTCACCCTTCAAATGCTGTCCAAATCGGAAGAGGTCAATTCCAACTGCCTAGGACACTTAGCGCGGAATGAACCATATGGAATATCTGTTGAATGTGAGTTGTTATGATTATAGTACATGAAAATATAGTTGTTATCATCCTGTAAGTGGGAATTCGAAAGCAATTCAGAAAATTTTATTGTATCAGACATTTTATAAGCAATTCACTGAGCAATATTGGTTAAAAGATAGTTAATAGAGATAGTTCGATCACCTTAAATGCGCTGCGTTGCGTTTGTAACAGAGTAACTCGTAGGTTGCACACTGGCAACTGTCATGTGTCTACTTTAACTTTCTCATTCTAATTGCTCAAGGAAAACTATTTAAGAATTAATAGCTCTCCAATTGACAATTACCATTGCCGGCCACGCCCATCTTCTCCGTTACGGGGAAAGGAAGGATATTGTTGATGTAACATCTACTTAACGGAAGGCCAGCAACTCACCGACGCCCCCATAGATGCTACGGAGTTGGATAGTTGGGTAGGAGATGGGTCAGGATTCGCTTAAGCAGGCGGTGCGACCATAGTAATTGTTTTGTTTTGAAGGAGCTTCTTTTTCTCAGTAAACAAAAGCGGCAGGGGTCAAGCTGGTCGAGCTTCTCAATTTTAATTCCAATCCTTTTTAAAAGGGTCTAACTCGAATGATCGAATTAACTCCTATATAAGGCTGAATTATCTATTATTGAATAACTATTATTTACGATAATTACAGGAAAACATAAAATAAAATATTGACTGCAGACAAAATGTGACTACACCCAAGTAACATTGCAAGTTTTATTGAGGTTTTAAAGCATTCTACAAGTCTTAATCATAGTCTCAACATGCAGCTATTCTTCAGGATACACAATTTTCTACCTATCTTTCTATTAGGCCTATGGACATGCTTTAGCTTCGAAACTTCTAACCAAACTGGGAAATCTAACAGATCACAAAAAAAACAAAACCAAAAACTTAAAACGTTTCAAAATCAACTGAAAGGTAATAAATGAAAAGCGAAACGAAACATATTATTTTACGCGAAAAAGAATATTGAATCTCTTGTACCATATGCTAATATTGACTGTAACAAAAGCAATTTGCGAAAATAAAATAAAATTTTAATGAAATGTGATGTAATTTTTTTACTAGAAGATCACTTATAAATTGATGAGAAGTTTCTAGTAAGCCCTCCCAGTTGAGATAGTTCGATCACATTAAAATCCATAAAAAAAAACTTAGCATTATGTTTCAACATTTCTACCCAGGCAATCAATTTGAGCTAGCATTAATTAGTGTACGAAATCATTACCATATTCTTCACAGATTTCTATATATTCATTTGTAAAAGCAAAGGTGAACGAAAATATAAGGATAATATGATAACTTTTCACTGCTTAATGTTGATAACCTTCTCTTAAAAGAGTAGACCTCAACATTGCACTCAAAAGACAATGCCAATAGATTTCATAAGTGTTCTTTAAGCTTCGTGACTCGCATTGTAAGAGAAAAAATATAGAACCGTGTGTTTTCTCGGAAAACATGTCTGCTCTCCAAATGGAAAGCTCGCAGCATGGAATTAATTTATCAACGAGTATACGAGCCGGAAAATTGACGCTCCGGCAAAAGCCTTTCCTATAGGGTAGCGCACTACTTCGGCATAAGCGCCCGTTTCCGTCATATCGAGTAGAAACATCAGATAAATCAATGATTCAGACGCGAATGATACGTCATACGTGTTATACGATAGTTTAGTTAAAAAGTTACAACACAAAGTGCACCCAGCAAATAATTTTGTTTACCTTCATCCGTATGACGAAGTTAATCCAATGAATTTGCAATGTGTTTGAAGGGAATACAAACTCGTATGACAGAATTGAAATCAATAAGCAGTGTTAGATTGTTATCAATGTATCATCAATTTGTGTTTTTTTTTATCAAATCTGACAGTACCTATGATAAGTGCGTGTTGTGCCAGAATTTAGATTTTAACCCTACCTGTATCAAACAACTTTCTCCTCTCTGTTTGTACGGGTGTTTGGAAGAAAGCATATACAAGTGTGACGTTATGCAACGGTTTCCTGTTCGCTTGCATTGGCTTAATTCTGAGCACGTAGAACGCGCAAGAGTTGTTCTAGAAAGCATCAAGAGATGCCGATGCCATTGGGTCACTGCCAGTGTGAAGTGTGGCACTATTATGCTCGCCATTGAAGGAGAAACAACACCTAATGACTAAGAATAATGGCACTTCTTCTTTAAGCAAAGTTCAAGCACTCTTCATCCAATCAATGACAAAAATCTGAAGTAGCACATTAAGGTCGGAAGCAACAGGTTACTCAGAACGTGTCATTATTAATTGGAGAGCCTTATTTTCTCCCACCAGTGTGAGTGATATGACAACAAAACAACAATGCAACTTACCTTGAGAAAATCAAAACCGAACACAAATGATCATTAAATGAGTCTGAAGCATTCGCGACATGCCCGTACAGCTGTAAGTCATCAAAGATGATAGTGAGTTTTTTCCCCGACCACATATGGGGAGGACACACAGCGAAAAGTCACCAGCAAAAGAATCTGCTCTACCATCGGATCATCTACGCCCTTATTAGCGATAAGTACATAAAGAATCGAAAGCTGCGAAAATCGTACTTTGCACTGCTCTACCTATCGTACGTGTTTATCAAGATGCTTCCAATGACGTTGGCCATTGAGACAACCAACACCGAGGCCAAACCGGCCACGGGGCTCAACGTTCGAACTCGCACGCTGCCGGAAATGGTGGCACCTCATCTAGAAGAAGATGACGATGACTACAACGACGATGAGTACGATGAGTACGATGTTGTCAACAATAAGTCTGGTGAGTTCATGCATTCCTATTCAGTAACATTTCTATGTTTTCCCTAGTATGCCTATAGATATGTTCGTCAAGTAGGGGAAATGGCTCTAATGTTGGCCTATGGGGTTGGGCCCACCGCTAAAAATCTGCTATTTATCAATTTTACTTAGATGAACGCGTCATTGAGACGGTACTAATGAATATTTTTGGTCCCTATTGAAAATTTAGTCGATTGCAGAATTTATGTATGGACCCAAATTAGGGGCATTTAGGCCGTCATTACATCCATTTCCCCTAGTTAAGTAATTCTACCATTGTTTCAAAGCGTGATGCTATTCTGCAAATTTAGTCGGTAACTTGAGAAGAAATTACCCATACATAACATTAATCGCATTTTATGAATTAGAAACAAAGTTAGAGCTATATTGTGGATGCCGCGGCCAATTGAATACGAAAAATCATAATTAATCCACCTACCGATGATAAGTGTCCTTCTCGTGCAGTATCAAAAACTTGAATTTCATAGTCTGGATTCTATTGCTGGGGCACCTGGAGCATGCCTGAGTGTTGCCAATGATTGTTGCACAATATCAGTTCTCAAACATTATTCATGTATGTGTTGAAAAAGATGAATAAATATAAATTTGAATAGTTTGTAACCTGGAGCTGACATTCTACTTTTGCAACAGCAAGCGTCAAATCAAATATATCATATTAACATTATGATCCATTCATGCCTTTTCCAAATGTTACAATGGCGACCCGCAAAATATATCTTCACGCACCATCTAGCGTTGAAAAAGGTCAGCAACAATCATTCAATTACAATCGAGGGGTGCGAATATAGCACTTATTACAAAAGTAAGGGTCAAATTATTTTCATTAATTACATTGTGTATATTATTTTAAAATATGTCTGACATGTCACTGTTGTCATCAAATAAAATAAAATGCTGAAATTTGAAATATTAAACAAATTTTAATTTCGTTTACCCCTTGTGACGATAAACAAATACATTGGTAGCCTTTTTGACTATATGTTTTTAGTATTACCATAGAGGTAACTCTAAGACCACTGGGTCCCGAAGAAAATCATTATTATTTTTGGCTCACTCAGTACCAGAACAACGGTCCCAAGCAGTCCCAAGCTATTTCACTCACCCCTGCATGTTCTGCATGAATCCACACACCCCTGATGTTATCTGTCAAACTTTCATAGCGAATCAAAACAAACATAGTGTAGTAATAGAATTTCAACTAGAATAGGGTACGTTAATCGTTTGCTTGGGACCAATAGGCTACTATAGTGGTGAGCCAATTTAAAATCGTTAGTTTCGTATTGATTGTTGGTATTACTTCTACGTGAAGTCAACGATTTACATAGTTGAAGATGCTAATTTCAAATAACAGACTGTAGTGGTAATTTTTATACGATAGATGGAGTAGATGAAAGCATAGAGTTGATAGTTCCGTTAGAGTACGGCAGTGTGAAGATTGTATATAGATATTAGACAAGCGAGCTAGGACAACTTTTAAGGAAGGCACAAATCGGTTTTTTCATCTCTCTTTATCAAACTCCCCCTTTGGAGAGGGATGGTGAGGGGTGTCCCCCCCCCCCGCCACCACTGGCAAAAAGAGATGAAGACCGACCCGCTCATGTACCAACTGTGTGTTTGAAACAGTCTTTTTGGCCACAGAGGTGCTTTCATCGCTAAAAATTCGGTTCACCAGCTAAGCGAAAGAGTGGATCATATTGTTAATATAATATATTTGGTCAAATACTCGATACTGCTTTTGTAAACAATAACTGTTAACATCAAATTTGCGAAAAAAAAACTATATGTCCCCACGTTAACTAACACCCAAATTTGCTACCTCGAAGTTGCGTGTGGGACCTAAAGGCTATTACGTTCATATGTAAACAATTAATCATTTTTTCAAGCTTCTGCATACATGTTCCATCAGATGTCACTGCTGTTATTTGTGGTGATATCTATCGGGAACTACGCATAATCTGTTTTCCGTTAATTGTTCACAGAAGACTGTGCAGTGCAAAACATGTCTGGTACTTTTATATATGCATTTAGATTAATATTCGAAGTCCCTCCTTTTTTACACCTTCTGCACAAAAAATAGCTCACCCCTCACAGGATTTCCCGTTGATTTTTGTGAATGGGGGGGGGGGGTGGTCAGAAAATAACTTTTGTGCAGAATGTGTAAAAAAGGAAGTCCTTCCTGTTAATTTTAATCTAAATGCATATATAGGGGTACCAGACATGTTTTGTAGTGTCAGATACACTATTTTGTAATCTGTGAAAGGGAAATCACAAATCGAGTGTCAAAAAATACATGGCATGTTGAGAGTTTGATTTCGTGAGAGAGAATTTTCTTCCTCAAATTTGAAATTTTTCTCTCTCCGAAGACTGGTAGTAAAGCAGCTTCAAAAATGTATGGGAAAAACCTTTTTACCCTTCTTACAAAGAAGGGTATAGATATCACTTGAAAAAGAGACTATCGATCCGAGGCCCGGAGGGCCGAGTGTCATATACCATTCGACTCAGCTCGACGAGATCGGAACATGTCTGTGTGTGTGTGTATGTGTGTATGTGTGTGTGTATGTAACGAAATGAATGCGCTCACGTTTCTCAGCAACCGCTCAACCGATTTGGACGCTCGGCGCCAAATGATAGGTCTTGGGGTCCCATTGAACGCTATTGAACGGTTTTGGAATCGGTGAACCGGTTCCGGATATATGGCCGGAATAAGATCCGGTGAATATGGGCCTTCACGTTGGATTTAACGGAAAACGTATCAAAACCATCATATACCATTCGACTCAGCTCGACGAGATCGGAACATGTCTGCGTTTTTTTTTTTTTTTTTTTTTTTTGGCAAGGAGGAAACCTTCAAAAAGGCCATCGTGCCACCACTTGACGACTGGCCGCACAGTCGCGGTGACACGGTGTGTTGGATTCTTACCGCACTAAAACCTCCTTGTATGCCTTGCTCTTTTCCCCGGAACCACTTGTCGTATTACTTCGGAGGGAGCCGTGAATTACGCACCTCGCTTTACCTCAGCTAATTGGCACTTCCAGTTCGCTGATCGTCTCTCCAATTTGTGTGCCATTTAGCTCCCAGCGTCACGTTATCGGTTATCCCCGGTGGTGGATTCAGCCTACTCTGACGAAGAGTTCTCCCGACTTCAGCTTTCATTTCGCACTTGTGTGAGCACATTACTACTTTCTAGCTGGTCCTCTCGCCATTTTCGCTGCAGCGCTCTGATCTGCGTTTCTGCTCTGCTGACGGCGTTAAAGGTGCCCTCCTCCACATTTCTTCGACGACATTCTCCGTGCTAAGGGCGAGCATATCCTCTCGCACATCATCAAATCTAAGACATTCGAAGACCACGTACTCTGATTATTCTTCCACATTCCCACACTCCGGACAGAAGGGTGACGTTGTGTGTCCGAACCGATGCAGGTACTTCCTGAAGCAGCCATGACCAGACAGGAACTACGTCAAGTGGAAGTTGACTTCTCCATGCTTCCTGTTCACCCAGGTCGAAAGAATCGGTATCAGCCTGTGTGTCCATCTACCATTCTCTGCTGCAATCCACTCCTGTTGCCACTTAGCCATCGACACCATTCTCACCATTTTTCGTACTCCTCTGGTTTCTCTCGTCATATAGTACTCGTAGTCCTGGGATCATACCGGCGATAACGCATGCTGCCTCCATCGAAATGGTTCTGTACGCACTCACAACTCGCATGGCCATGAGCTGGAACGAACTGCTCAATTTCCTTTGGTTCTGCTTCGTTTTCAGCACTTCAATCCAGGCTGGACCTCCGTACCTTAGTATCGATGAGGACAGCCTAGCCATAAGACGCCTCTTGCTGCTGCATGGACCAGAATTGTTCGGCATGATTCTGGCTATTGCGTTGATGAACTTTGCGGCCTTCTCGCAAGCATATTCGATGTGGCTGTTATCGTTTAGCCGGTCATCGATCATCACTCTCAGATACTTCGGCACGCGCTTCGAAACAATAGTGTGCTTTCCAACGGTGATTTCTGCCCGCTGCACTGCTTTGCAGTTAATGACCAACATCACTTCTGTTTTGTGGTGGGCTATCTGCAGCTTCGCTCCTTGCATCCAGTTACCAATCGTATCTATCGCCTCGGCCGTCAGCATTTCCACTTCTGCCAGCGTCTCACCGGTTACCGACAAGACGACATCGTCCGCAAAGCCAACGATCTAAACTCCTATGGGCTGTTTGAGCGTCAGCACGTCATTGTACATTCCGTTCAACAGCGCGGGACCTAGAATGGAGCCTTGTGGAACTCCCGCCGTGATTCTAAGCGATTTCTGCCCCGTGTCTGTCACGTAAACCAGGACCCGGTTCTGGAAGTAACTACTTAGAATCCTGCAGAGGTAGTCTGGAACCCTCATTCTATGGAGTGCCTTGGCGATGGCCTCCCAGCTGGCGCTATTGAATGCATTCTTCACATCAATCGTAATCGCGGCGCAGTATCTATTTCCTCTCCGCTTCTGTTTGGAGGCCTTCTCGGCTCTGTCAATCACTGTCCGAATTGCATCCACCGTCGATCTCCCTTTCCGGAATCCAAACTGCCTCTCCGACAATCCGTGTTCACTCTCCGTACATTTCGTCAGCCTGTTCAGGATGATCCTCTCCAAGAGCTTTCCGACAGTATCCAGCAAGCATATTGGCCTATACGATGCAGGATCCCCCGGCGGTTTTCCGGGCTTCGGCAGCAGCACAAGCTTTTATCCCTTCCACCTATCAGGGAATTGACTGGTTATTTAGGGGTGCAATAGTATGTATGTATGTATGTATATAAAGGAATTTTAGACTGTTGACTTTCCACCCCGTACGACAGGATCAAGTACAATACCTGATTGTATTCAATGTACCATTGTATGAAGGGCCAAAAACGGAGGGTGAACCTGTAAGCAGAGGCACTTACGCTTAGTCCACGGGATCAATGAGAATCTCCTTCAAACA